CGACCGTGAGATCAGCTCGTCTCCGTTCATTCGTGAACTCTCGCGTGGCCGCCAGAGTCATTGTCAAGGGCGCCCCGCGCTCCCATGGGAGATCGTCGAACAATGAATGGGTCAGTCGGCGATCCGCGAGTTTGATCAATTCGTGAAGCAGGTTGTACACATATAATAGAACGATGGTATTTGGGTTATCATGCGGCCGCACTCGGTGTGTTCTGTCCTGTCCTCGAGCTTGTTTTATTATGTGCAGAAGTGTTTTACATCTTGTTTTGCATCGATGTCACATTTGTTTTTGTTGAATATTCTAGACGCGTTTAAATATAGGGTACCTACTGGACGAAATCAAGTCGGTAATAGATCGACATTTGTTGGAGTTGTTTGTGGGACGGAAATTTAGGCTTACATGCTTTTGCAGTAATAGTTGCGAATTTATTTTTTGAGGAATTTGAAGTTTTTCATACGGCATGATACTTGGTTTAGTGAGAGAAAAAATATTTGTCTATATTATGATTGCTGATATTGATATCTTTGAGAATAAAAATTGTTTTCCATATATTTATTACCACTAATTAGAACTTAATGAGTCCTATAAGCTGTTGTACTGACTTTTCGAAAAAGTGTCATTTTTATAGACAATCTAATCAGTTGTCCAATCTCTGATAAATATTTTATTGCAATTAATGTCGAGAAAGAGCTATTTTGAAGCCTTTTTCAATTACTATGTATATTACGGAGTAAAAACTGATGTCACTTCAGCTTGGAATCAAGCTGTCTGAGGCGGGTATCAAATCTTCTGGTTGAAATTTCACAGCTTTAATCCTTGAGGATGCTCCCTATAAAGAATTTTATGTCAAAATATTTATTTATTTTTTTTAGAATATCAATCACATCTAGTGTTATGTATTTTTTGAGCTGATTGAGTTCTTATAGCTTATCATTATTAAAACCAACGATGCAATTATAAATATGCTGCATTCATTCTCTTGCCAGTAATGAAGTAGGGCTAATTTTACCTTGAATCATGGTTAGATCTATATGTTCTAGTAAAAACTGTTATTACTACTGCTTGTTATCATGCTATCCAGGGCGGGAATTGACTCAGACTACTTTTGGTAGCTTTTACTATTATGCCACATATGAGTTGAACATGAAAATATAAGACAAACTTTTGCGATTTTTATGAAAATTTATTCACAAAAAACTTAAATTAAAAATGTTCAAAATAACAAAAAACTCGTTTTTATAATTCTCTGTTTCAGAGCTCCAAATGATATCTTATGAGCTTGACTAAAATTAAAATGGTTTTCAAAACTATTATCACAAATATATATTATATTACACATACTCAGATTTTCTTTCCAACATATATATGTATATGTACTTAATTATTTTTTTTATCAAATGCACCAAAAAACCATGTAATTAATATTATATTACGTTTTGTAGATAAGTATATACAAATCTAAACAAATTAGTTTTGTAGATAAACGTATATACAAAAGAATTTAAAAAACATAAGTCATAATTACAAAAAAATAGTTTTTATGTATCTATTTCTCAGTACAAAATAAATCTTGTGAATATTATCATCACGGCGTGAAAAGGCAATAATTCGTTCTAAATCTTTAGCCTCTTCTTCAATAAGATTTCTACTAGTGTAAAAATTATCATTTAATCATTTATCTGTAGTACACACATCACTAACAACTATTTATGTTTATTACACATGGAAGAATTATCTGACATAGAAATTATCAGAATGATTAATAGATTTCTTGAAAATAATTAATTTAATCGATGTTTTGCACTATAAATAAACCACAAATGTGATGAGGATTACGAATTGCTTCATGCAAATTCAGAAGATGTATTTATTATTATCATTTATTAAAGAACTTTGATAAAGTGGTTATTGTTAATTATTCAAATGTTCTTAAGAATAATTGATTACACTTTATGAGAAGTATTACTCGAACTAACTGTTATGGCAAAGGGCTTATATGCAAATGTGGGATTCTCTTGATTTATTATTTCATTGTTCATTTATACAATATAATGTTTTTATTTGATATATGACTATAATTATAAATGTGTAATATACGGTTATTCATACTATTTTTATAAATTTGTATATCTTATAGAACGCTAATTTTAACAGCAGATATTCAAATTGTAAAGTCAATTATTTTAAATTTAATTTAATATAATCTTACGTTTATGTAAATAATACTTGTAAAGGTAATTGATTAGGTGATTCATTAGGTATTCGCGAATTATCTTATTTTTTCCGTAGTCTGTAATTAGCTTGGGTAAGCCCACTACGTAAAATACATCTGTAATATTTGACGCGGTTGCTATAGCATTCATTTTATATAACATTTAAAATCCCTTATAATCTAACTACCCCTATAAACCGTGTTTAATTAAATTTTGAATTAATTTAAAAATAAACCGAATGCAACTTTTCTTTACCATTCTGAAACTATTGCTGTTCGCAAACGTGTTAAGATCAACACATTTTACGTATTTTAATATATTTTAATTATGTAATCAACAAACAATAATTAAATGAGAATTTTATCCATATAGGAAATGTTTTCCAGATAATTTCAATGCAAAATCTTATCACAATTTTTTGTTGTATCACTTTCCTGACCTCTTTAATGAGTGATTTTATCTGACTTCTACCATAATAAATATGAGACATGTGACATGGGACAATTATTATTATTACATGATCAACTGTCAGAGATCTGACATGGGACATAATTTAAAAATTTGATTTCTTTTGAAAGTTATATGAGTAATACACCTTTCAGTCATCTGCATGACTTCTCCAGCCAAAGACAATTTGATGGAAGAAATGTGAATTTTCTTCTTTATAATTTTATTATTTTTATTAATAGGATAAATATTAATAATAACTTAATAAATAGACTTTTTTCATATATATATTTGAAATAAAAAATTGTAGAAAAATATTTTTCTTATCATCATCCCTGGTATTTCAATAACTATTACTCAGCAGTATGAAAGGAAGGAATAGTTTATATTTCAAATACATATATTTATTTCTAAACATTGATATCTGAGATTTCTAATAGAATTCATATCTCGATCGATTTAGGAATTCAAACAAACAAATAATAATCATATCAGTATCTGCAATTTATAAATAAAAATAATTTATATTTTGGCATTCATTTGTGCAAAAATCTGATACAGTTAAATAAACATCAGATACTGTTCAACTGTGTCTTGCTAATATAATAGATACGTTAAATAAATATGATTTTGTGTTGAAGAGAAAATAAATATGTATTTTCACCATTTTATATATTTCTGTGTCGAGAAAGCAGCAATAGACAATAATAAGATGGAATGATTGAAACTTTTCTACAAATATCTCCGATTCTGTAACACAGATTCTGAAGTTGTATTGATAGAAACAGATTTAAAAATTGGGTCATTTGACCATACAGACGTATATCATCTGTACTCAGGTTATTTGTAAATATTTTAAGATTTTTGAAGAATTGGTACAGAAGTTTTGCCCAAGGAGGACAATGCAACGATCGACTCCTAAATCTTAACTAAACGTAACTTGATCAATTTTTTTTACTATTCAGTGTGGAAAATGAAAATCTCTTGAATTATAATGTTTTCGATAAATTTCAATAGTATACTTTACATGGTCATTAAATATACTTCCAACATCACGTTGCGCACTAAAAAGTGGGCACAAAGAAAACGTACATGTACATCTTTTAGGGCGCGTCCATTAATTACGTGATCGATTTTTCAAGGATTTTTGGATCCCCTCCTACTCCTTGATGTTACGTGGTGATATTCAAAATTACCTCCCCCCAAACATCATGTGGATTCTTAGTTACGAAAAAATTGTATTTATTTTTATTTATTTTTTTGAAAATGTTTGGATTTTTTAAAAATCTTACTGTATCTCATCTTCCATCACGTGATAATTTGTGATTTTTTTGTCAAACCTTCCCCTCCCCCTGAAAACCCCACGTAACTAATGTACGCCCCCTTATTAGTAACAAATTGCAATAAAAAATGATATATGAATAATTTATTTTTTATATATTAATACTTTAAAATTTGTCTATTTTCAGTTATGAATATCATCGAATTTCTTGATGCACAAAGAACTAAAAAATGATGATTCTGGAAACAGATTCAAAATTGGAAATTGCTACCCAATTTAGTTAATTGGTACTAGTAGAATACAATTTTTTGCAAGATGATAAGGTAATTAATCTTAGGCATATTTCTATTTTTTCGGATATTCTGAATTTTAGGAGATTGATTTTTTTTTACAAATCCACTCCAATATGTTCGCATATTTTATAGAATTGTGTCTTAGAATTTTTCTAATATAGATGATATATTTGCACATGAGTACATATTATACATATATACATTTTTTAAGTAAAAAAGGATATTACTACTGCTTGATATCAGGTTGTCCATAACATTATCTTAAACGTAGCCAGAGACTTACGACAGTGCTACGATCTCCCTAATTTTATAAAAAAAATATTTTCAGTTCAATAATCTATTTAGATCATGGGGACATAATATATTAATAAATTAAAATATAACTTAACATCGTTAAAAAAAATTAATACATTTTAATATAAAAATGTAAAACATTACACATCCTTGCGAAAAAGTTACCAAATTTATATAAACCTTCATCCATACAGTTTTATATGAAAAAATCGATAAATCCAATATCTCTAAGATATCTCTTTCAGTGTATTTTGGCGAATAGGCACTAATCCGATTATTTATTACCCGCTGCACAGTTTTAGAAGCGCTGTCCATCGCTGATATGGTTTTTATATATAATACAGTGTAAGATGTAGGACTTCCATGCAGAACTTTAGAACGTGTTTTTGAGTCTGAAGTGTCTGACGCGTCGCGATTCGTTTTCGATTATTAATTTTATTTATTACCAATTTATTAATTTAATTTCCATTATGATCAACAAGTGTTCTGTGATACTAGCTGTACTGTGTTCGATTTTAGGTTCTTCAATTATATCTGCATCAGAATTAGATGGCAAGGTAAGTAGATAATGGATACAGAAGTGCTGATACATTTCTGTTGAAAATTAGAATAAAATTATTATTTTAATACAATAGTGTTAGAAGATGCAATAGTTTTTTTTAGCTACAATCGATTTTATCATATGTAATGAAATTTATAAATAGGAACATGTGATGGTACAGTGCATGGTTCAAATAAGTTATTTTCTTGGATTCAAAGTTTTTCGACCAGTGAAGATGTTTTTGGTTTTGCATGATTCTTGCCAACGAAAGACGATTTGCACTTGAGATTATATTTGAAATCTTAACCTCAAGATGAAATTTGATATCATACTACTTCATATCGATCTGGCTGAAGTTGGAATCAAACCCGGGACTAGTACGTGATAGCCCATGTTTTTCCCTATTTCGAAACATCGTGCCTTAAAGCCAATTGCTAGAACTCCCCGTACCAAAAACTATTTTTTATTTTATTTTTTTTAATTTTGAAAATTTGTTTTTTGTACAATTTTAGATTTTCTTAAAAATTAACCAGCACGACCCCTTATCAATACGAATCTTTGAATTATTTAAATCGGTTAATCGGTGTTTCCGAAATCGTCAACGAAAATTTGTATCCGCACACACACATACATACATACTTACACACGCACACACACATACATCCATTTTTTCTAAGGTATGCTAAAATGTGCAGAAAACTTTGAAACGTAAAGATATATAAAAATTTTTATTTTCGATTTTTTTGTTAATAAAATCTGAAGTTTAGATTTTATTAAAACCGTTCAGATCTGTTTCAATGCAACTGATTACTAATAATAATTAATGCTATGGAATTAATTATTTATTAAAACCTAGTGGCAGACATCAAAATAATCGTTATAAATATATATAACCATAAGTTGAATAATCTGCACAGAATAAACAACAATAAAATTAATGTATTTATTTACTTTGTTTTATAGAGTCATTATATTGGCTGGTTTAGATAATGATATCAAATTTTGTTCTGATTGGGGTTTTCTATTTATTCTGAAAAATCCATATACTAATCCACTAAAATATTTGTGTGTCGTGATAAAATGAATGTTTTATTGTACATTTAATGAATCTTGGCATCACTGATTCTTGTTTCTGATAATTACGAACAAAAGCAAAATTTATCACAGTACATCTCTATAATTACATATTTACATGCGCATAACCGGTGTTAATCTAATCAGGTTAATCTTAATATGGGTTTTTTATAAATTTAATATTGCGTTTTATAATTTGCAATCAGATTTTAATAGGAAGTTAGATATTAATATTTTCATGCATATTTTGTATTGTGGTTTTGAACAGCAATCTGGTCTTAAGAGTCCTATTATGATGATACATGATTGTTTTGGAAGGGTACCCAATGGTTGTTCTATCTCTATATTTGATATAATTTTTTATTAATTTTTTTCTAATAATAATGATATTCCTCTAATTTAATCACGTAATGCCAGAAATGACTATTTTTACTCATTCTTTATTATTCAAATTAAAAATTGATATCACCACAGCTTGACATCAGGTTTGAACCGGAGAATTTGAGATTTGGAAGCCAAGCGTATGAACCCCCATAAAAATAATTAGGATTATATAGTTCATTTATTTTGCTGAGTTTGTTATTATGTGAGCTAATCTTCTGAAAATACATAATTTTCATTGGATGCTCTTCAGGAACTTAAAATCGAAAGTTTAGACTTTGAAGAGCAGATCCTCAAATTTTTGGAAAAGTCAAAAAAATTGATCGACGTAAAAGCTCAATTATTTCTTTCGCGACCTTTCAACATCTTTCTAGGCAAGAACCTAAAGAACTTAAAAAGAACCTAAATTGTGACGTGGATAGTTCCCTTGATAAATAACAAGTATAAATGGATATTTCAGCCGTTTAACTAAAAGCTTATTACATCTTCCTTAAAACATTGTTGTTATCTATTTGGCTATACAACCTTCTGATATATAAATGAAATTTTAAATAAACTACATAATTATGATATTTTTTCTTTTTTTAGCTAGATGTGACCATTTTCTACGAAACTTTGTGCCCAGACAGTGTCAGATTTATATCAAATCAACTTTACCCAAACTTTGAAGCTTTGGCGCCGTTCACGAACTTCAAATTTGTGCCATTCGGAAAAGCAGCGGTAAGTTTATTTTAAAATTTAATTAAATTTTAATAACAAACGTTAGTTTTTAGTTATTTATTGTTTACACAAATTATGCATCTATCTAACTGTAATGTAATATTATAAATTAGCGGCTGAGGTTTAGTATAAGATGCATAAAATACCTGCTCGACGACGGTTTCTGTTTTTGTTGAAAACCAATAACGCTTAATAATTTATGGTTTGCCCAGTTATATAACAGGAAGAGAATTCAAAATACTGGAAATGCAGTTGTAACGGATTTATAATCGTCAGATTTTGTTTTTGAAATGGTTGGAACGGAATTTTGTCATTGTTGCTGTTTTGTTTACATGGTTTTGTCCTGATATGGAAACTTTTAACTCAATTAATAAATGTGTCATTATCATTGAATATAATTTAAATTTCATCATTGGACAATAAATAAGCGATCAAAAATATATATTTGTGATAAAAAAAATGTGGAAAAATTATACTTTAATTTGTAAAAAATAAATTCATGATCTCGATCAATTTCAGTACATCTAATTTCAAACTTTGGATTATTAAGATTAAAGAATTTTCTAACGACGTTGTACTTTAATTTTTTTTATAATTGATATTCTCGTGTATTTACAAATCGATTATTTAATTCAAAAAGTCAACGAACTATTTTAATGTTCTAAGCAGTTTTTCAAATTATCGCATATTTAGAGTGCTTAGTAATGTTTTACAAGTTGCAACATTTGCAGAGTGCAGCAGTCTACATATATATTGATATATTGAATAACCTAAAATAATATAGAAGATTTACTACATATAGTAAAAAATAAAATATAATACATATTTATATTACTAGTAGTTGTATTAAATTATTTAATTTTCTTATCTACCATATTCATAAATCCATACTATAATTTCGGGCTACATTCATAAAGATAATTTTACAATTTGACCTAATTAGACGTCCTAATCAGCATAAGTTTTACACAATATTCACGTTAAACTAAATTAAATTTTACAGATTTAATATAAAAAAAGTCGTGTTTTATCAAATCGTAGGAATGCGTAATTTGATATATAACATTAGAAATTATTTTTATGGTTCGTTTGCAATTAACTCGTGCGCGATTATTATTGCAGGGGTAATCAACCTTGGTTATAATAAGAAACCACAAAAATATTGATGAATGATATAGATGATAAAAAAAATAATAAAACAATTGAGTAGATTATGAGATTTAATAACATTTATTTTAAATTTTGAATGAGAAGTGATGCTACTACTCAACTAAGACTACAAAGTAGTTGTGATTATTCTTAATATTTTTTATAATTTTAATATTATGAGCTATTTAGGGAGATCTTATGCCTCTCTTACAAAGTCTAATAAGTGTAATATTAAAGGTTTAGAAAATGATTTAGTATTTTCAAAGAAATGTAATGAATGAATTCAAGTTTATTAATTTTGCCATGTTACGCCATCTAAGGTTGAGCTGGACAAATGAAATGAGCTGCAAATTAAATTTTTCCTTCTATTTATTTATAGAATAATACATTTCTCAATAGCATTTTGTAAATTTATTAAAAATAAAATAAGTAAATTACAGCCATAGTGGCAACATGCTCGATTGGCATAAAAGAGCTACTGAATACCAGTCCTTTGGAAAAAAAACTGGTTAAGGATTCTGAATATTTTGTTAAAATTAGTATGAAAAAACATTGAATAGGGTCAGATAACTAGTGGTGCATGGCATCGTGCCTTAAGGCAAATTTCCTTTTTTTTACTAATTTTAAAGAAATGAGATACCGTTTTTGGCACTTTTTGCCCCGTATCGTCAAAACGCCTAAACCTGCCTGTATGTAAAATTGTAAAATGTATGGCTTTGATTGTGATCGGTTAAAAAATTAAAAATGATGTAAATGGCTAAATTCTATAGATACAAAGGAAACAAATGAAAAATACAAAATAGTAAGTAGAAGCTTGGTTACTAATCATGGATCTATTCCCTTGGAATTGTTCCATTCTTGAGTAAGAACGTCTATTTTTCTTTATCGTAATATTTGAGTTTCCAACATCTGTATCCATTATATTTAGTCTCAATATCATATTTTTACGCGTTCGAAGACTAGAAAGTCCATAAAATTGCCAAGAGAGAGTACGACGCCTACAGACGTGTATGCGATCGCGTTTCGCAAATTCGCAAAAATCGCAATAATAATCATACAGGGCTACATCATAAATACTAATTTAATTACATAACATCATATAATTTCTTGATACATTCCTTTCCTAAATAAAAAAATCAATGGAATGACAAATACCGGTACAAGTTACGCGTTTTCATCGATAATCAGTTTATCAGTCGCACCGTTACGGATACACATATTGTAATAATATAAACATTAATAGTGCGGAACTCTCCATAAAATACCGTTGGAAATCTTCCCAAGGCACGAAGAATGTTTATTTGGCATATTGTATGCTGATTTTTGTTAAATATTGATTATTGATGGAAGGATGTCGCATTTGTGACGACAAAGTTTGTCGCTTTCGAGTTGGAAGACCTAGTTAGAAATAATAAACAATATATTGTTTTGCATTTTAAATTGATAAGATCTATGCGAAAAATACTCGTTTGACGTCAATTTGAAATATCGAAAAAGACATGGTTGATTTTATTATTATTTTATAAATTTAAAAGCCATTTGGTTAAACTCTATGATAATTCGCATTGATTAGTTTTGCACGACGATCGGCTGAATTGTTTCTTAGAATTAGTAGAAAAGTGCAAAAATAATTCTCTACGATTTACAAAAAGTCCTGAACCGATTTTAAAAATTTAAAAACTTTTCGAAAGATATTAGTTGGAAAAGCGCTGAACAATTTTTGGTGAAGATTGGCTGGACCGTTCCTTCATTATTAGCTCTTGAATCTTGAATAATTGTTCGGCAATTAATGAAGCTTTGTAAAGTTTTATATTATTCACACATATAGAGAATTTATTTATTTCATTCAAAGAATTAAAATCGGCTAGTTGTCCGATCGGATCTTTTTATTCTTTTACCATCAGTTTTCCCCAGATCACCGCTTAAGAACCACAGATGTATCTAAAAATTCCTGTCGAACGCAATCTATTTGTCAAGCAACTTTGTCATGTGTAAAACCAAGTATCGATACACATTAGTTTAGATAAAAATTATTGATTTATGTTCTGTTTTATGAAATTGCAACATCATAGCGAAGGAATGCTATGGTTGTTCTTAGGTCATAACACCCAAGAAAAACATGTGATCTCTCCATAGTTCTGTACCTGTGGTAATCAATCCTAGCATAACTCTCAGTTGTATTCTTGACTATTCTTCTCCAATAAAACAATAAATGAACATCATAAGAAACCAATAAGTCACACTAACGATCGAAATGGCAATATGCACGTTTTTATTGTCGGTCTGGTAATGGCTTCTTAGATTACCAGGATGCTGGACAAGAAAGTGGTATAGATTGATCTTGAAAACACGATTAGTATTTCTATTCGTAATTGGAAATGGATATACTACTACTACTAGGGCACAGGAAAAACATAGGTAATGACTTCTAATTACTACAGCAAAACTAGAGATAATGAGCTTTTTGTAATTAATCGCTATGGCGAACAGAGATTAGCGGATGGTAGTACTGTTATGTCTTTGCAGAATTAGGAATAATAAAATAATATAAAAATTATAATTAGATAATTATTATTACTTGGGTACATCATTTACATAATTATATAAATATACTTTTGCAAAAACAAATAATCTTCATAAAGTAATTGAATTAAATTTTGAGCAGATAGCATTACTGTTACGTCTTTACTTCTCTTTGCATGATTGGAATTAAATGTAATAAATAAATACCAAATTTATAATTACTTGGTTTTAACGTTTGCATACGTAACAAAATCGTCTTGAGTCTTAGTTTCTTTGGAAAATTAACAACCAGATTTCTATCAGTCAGTTCTGGTGACTTGTGCCTGGTTGCAATCCGTATTATTTCTTTTTGCTGATTGCTGACAAACAATTGTATTGATAGTTTTGAGTTTTGAAATCATCTTATATATAAACAGTTTTTGATAGGTTGATGAATTGAATCTTGGTTCTAAAAGACAACACAGTTTTTTTTTAATTATTTGGCCTTTGACCTTTAGGTCATTTAGCAACATTTACATATTTTAGTATACATTATTCAATACAGTTCAATAATATTGTTATTGCAAAAACACTAAAGAACCTAATTTATGATATATACTTAGATAGCTACATACAATATCTATATATATACACACATACACACATATAAATATACATACATATACACATACATATATATATACATATATACATCTATGCATACACACTATATATAGATCAAATCCTGATTTTGAAATTATGTAGAAAATTCAGTATAATATTGCCGTGTTAATGGGGAAAGTTATATTATTCCTATATAGTTCTTGAAGAAGTTCTTCTCTCTGTTTTGAGAGTAGGCAGCATTTCCAAAGGATATGGTATATTTGTTTGAAATTCTGGTCCACAGGAACAGAAGGGGTCCTATGTTCGTCCAATTTTGTATAAATGAGACCTACAAAAGGTGTGAGCGCATCTAATTCTATTTATCATGGAAATGTCTTCTCTGGTCATTTTTAGTTTGCTGAACCAGGTACTAAATGTGACTTGGGGTTTGCAGGTTTAATAAAGAGCCCTTTGAAGTCGATTCTAGTCATAATCGACAACACAGTTACTCAAGTTCCTTTCGAGTTGACTTTTCCTTTACTTGTGTATTTCATATAATTTACAATTAATGCTTTTCATTCATTTAAATTGTTTTTTTATTTTCTTTCACAGAAATTAATGATGGTGAATCCTTCGAATGCCAACACGGTCCAGAAGAGTGCAGGGGCAACATGCTGCAGTCCTGCGTCCTGCACCTCCTGGCAAAAACCCGATGATGCACATGCGCTTTGTGGGATGTCAGATGCATCCATCAGCCGACCACTCTGGCAAAACGGTAAATTAGAAAAATAATTTAAATAATGTTAATTAATTTGTGAAAACAACGGAAATGGACAGTTGCCCGAAATATATTCATAGAATCATATCATACTATGAAACAATAAATTCATTACTTCTGTTTATGATGAGATAATGCACCAATGTGTAAGATGAATCATACAGATTATTATTTCATATTATTTTATAAGTGGTCCATCAGCAAATTGGATATATTTTTTTAAATATCTGTGCCAATAAGTACGGAACATCAGCAAATTTTTTAGGTGTACTTGAATTTCTAAATAGAATGCCAATTCAGTGATTTTGTAAATCGCAGTTTAAAAAGATTTAGCTATCTCAATTTACATATATTTCTCTTCTCGGATAGCTTTACTGTGATAAATGCTCTTTTTTTTCAACTGTTTAGGATACTTTCTATTTTGAATTTCACCGAAATTTATAACATTTTTATATTCCCTGACTTTGTAATCAAAATTCTTACATAGTCAGTATAAGAATGTCGTAGCAAATAAAAACTTTGAATACTTGCTCAACTTGTTTATTTTAAAACGTGAATTTCTTTAATTGTTTGAGATTTTAATTTTTTAATATCACATTAAACATCTTACATCCTCCAATTAACAGATAAAGTTTAAACCAAGTATGTAATAAAATAATGTGGCTTTAAAAATACTTGTATTTTTATTGATATTTGTTTTAAATGTGCATCTTGTGCAGTCTGCGCGTTTCTAAAAATAAATCGGTTTATATAATTATTTGCATCAGAATGTGCAATTAGTTTGAAAATCTTGTAATTTAGCATATTTTGCGAGTAACATCATCTAATAAGCCAATTAGAATTTAATTAAATGTTCGTTATGTTAATTGAAATTCTGCTCATGTTTTATGCATCTTAATGAACTTTAAATATATCTTCAGTTTGTTTTATTAAATAACAGATACTAATCTTACAATTGATACGCTAAAGATAAAAAATATGATAGTAAAAATATATAAGCAATTAATACAACGGTATGTGACAGCAGATTTTATTAGTGGATACTGGTCTAATTAAATCCATTTGGGCCATTCTTTAATATTTATTCATAATGGCATCAAGATAATAATTTGAGTTTCTACATCACCAATTAAATAAATATTTTGCTGCAAAATTAATCTTGATGCAATGATGAATAGATATTATGGAACAGCCCACATGGATTTAATTAGATTTTAATGGTTTATAAATATTGATATGTGTCATAATATTTGAGATCACGAAACTATCACAGATGGCGCAAGAATTTACTTAATGACATATGTTAATAACAAATATATTGGAGTGCGCTCTATCTAAATGTTAATATTAAGAGCTAAACTATTAGAGATTCATTTTTTATTAATTTGGAAACATTGGAGCCCTTGGGAGCAAAGAAATTCGTAAATGTCCATGTTAAGGATCACCCTAATATTAATGGCTAAATTATGAATGGATGGTAAAAGGCAATCAACACAGGTGTGTCACGTGTTATTTTTATAAAAATGGACAAATGGATGAATGTACCTCCGAATTAGTTATTTTCCATTAAAATAACTTTATATTATGATCTTAATTTCTCTGTTTTTTTCTTCCAGTGTACTAGGATGGTCGGAATCGACTGGAATCTGGTCGATCGTTGCATGAAGTCCGACGTCGGAAGATTGTTGCAATTGCGCGCCGAAAGAGAGACGAACGCAATCTGGCCTCAGTTCATTCCCACAATCGTTTTCAACGGGGTGAGTGATACATAATGCGAATTTAATTGATGTAATGAAATATCAATCAATCTTCTTTAGAAAATAAATATTTGCATCAAGGTTTGTTGTGATGGCGATAATTCGGTTTTAATAAGACCAATTGCAGCGCATGGAGCCTAGTAAAGGGAATGCTTAGGGCAATAGATGAGTGGTGTCTGCATTTTTTCATAATCTTTAACTTTTTCTAAAATTTCGGGTTTTGCTCAAATTTCTTGAAATTGTGGAATTTTATTTCAAAGTCAGTATAAGAGAAATTTCCACATATAATGTATATATGAATTGTCTGTGTACAATACGTGATATGTGTCCATATAATTTTTCTAACAAAATACTCCCTAAATTAAAAATTTTGTTCGTTAAAATTAGAAATTTCAGGACGAATCTAACTGTATATGAGTTATAATCATTCATAGAATATTGTAATGATCTTTTGCATATTGTAGAGTCAAATTGAACATTTGATCTACTCTTACTCGTTAGAAATGTCGCTATAACTCGAGTCCCATAATAGTAAAGTAGTAAACTTTTTAAAAAAAATCATGAAAGTTTGAACAATTTTCAGTATAAAACGTTATATAATCGTCACTAAATTAATAAATATTTAAAATAAACAAGATTACGTGAAAAAACTGGATTTTCTTATAACGGTTGGTCGTACCTCAAACCAAAAAATAAAATACGAATTAATATGTCTTAAATTTCTTAAAAATTATATATATAATAAAATACAAATTGATGTGTTTCAAATTTCTTAAAAATTATGTAAATCAATTACGTATTATATGGAATGGTGGAAACGTTGTCGTACCTCAAACCCGAAAAATAGTATACCTATTGATGTTACCAAATTCTTAAAATTTATGTAAGTCATTGGAGCACCAATTTTTTGCTTACTTTACTGTATAATTGCAGTGAACTAAGAAAAGATTGACTTAATAAATTTTTTTAAGAATTTAGGTATGCAGTGTATGCCAATATTCTATTAAATTCAAAGAGAGACTTAAGTAAACATCCTTAGCTCGGATAATTAATTTAAAAATGCTACAAAATTATTTAAGATTCACAAGCATTGAAATAATATAAATTTAAAAAAAGTCCAAGACGATTTCTAAATACAATTATCCAAACTTTCATAATTGTTTTATTTTAAATTTATAATTTATTCGAGTCATTACCTAGGCTCATTTTAAATTGCTAATATGATTCTACTCTGCTTTTGCGAATAATAAATATACGAGGTCTCTAAAATAAATCTTGAAAACCGTCGCTAAATATTTTAATAGGATGATGATGATCAGAATTTTAGTTTTATGTATGATTTTTTTCTTTTATGTATGATTGGTGTTGCTTTAGCAATTAAAAAATATTTGATGTTCCACCAGTCAATTTTGAAAACCCACTGCTAAATATTTTAATAAAATATGATAATCATCATATCGGTATATCATTTGAATATGATTTCACTCCGCTTTGGGAATAATAAACTAATTGCATTTCTCAATACCAATCAATTCTGAAAAGCATAGCTAAATATTTGAATAAAGGAGGATGATGATAATTCACTACACCGAGTAAATATTCTGTTTGCTTCTAAGTATCTTCATATTATTTTTTTCAGGTTTTTAATCAAGATTTGCAAGATAGGTCACAAATTGACTTCAGAGGAGCAGCATGCCATTTTTTGCGCTCCTCATATCCTGCGCTTTGTGCAAACACCACCGCAACAAAAACAACCTAAGAAAACACACTATTTGTAGATGAGACGAAGAGACTTGTTTTTAGAATAACTGCCACCAAGCATCATTTTAATTATTATTTATAGGTTAATACTATGTATTTTATAAATAAATACTTTTTTATACTCCAAAGAATGTTATTTGATGACGGTGATTTTTAAGATTACTTCCATCGGAAGTTATTCTTATGCAAGTCACGAGTAATGGAGTTGCTGCAGGAAATTCATTCCTAGACCAGTTCGTTAACCATCCGGTGACTAAACCTCGTCGAATAAATTATTAGAATGCATTTGTAATAGATACATGATTGAACAAATGGATGGATTCTAATATCAATGAATATTTCTGTACCAAGCAACAGCATTTTTATTTAAAAATATTGAACCAAAATATGTATTCAAGTGAAATAGCTCTTTCCTGCTGCATCAAATGAGATAAACAAATCTTTTTTTTAAATAAATTCTTAAAAGTTCAAATATATCAAATTTAGATGTGCTAGCGTAGGGCATATCAAAAGATTCAAAAAAAAAATTGATCCTTAAGGGTTGTTGTTGGTATCAGTAAATCTTATTTTTTTTTTATTTTTATTTAAACAGATTTTCAGACCATCTGTTCCGGTTATTTTTCCAATCTGTATTAATCCTAAAAATCATTCGTTAAACTGTTACATTATTTAACCTACGATGAGAAGCATTTTTTATTACTAAATATGATAATAATTTGCAAATGATGAGTTGTATTATATGCTACAACTGTACTCTTAAATCTTTGAAAATAATCATCGGTGTATGATTATTTGTAAGACTAACGGCTTTACTTCCGCCTTTTGCTGCTAGTTATAGATTTACTGAAAATGTAGACACGCAATGATAAATCACTTTGAATTGCATCTTTGAAA